AAACCAAGTTTTTAAGAGTAGATTTTTTTCTGTGAGCAAGAGTGTGATTTTTTTTTTTTTGTAATTTATGTAAATAAAGTGGGGTTTTGTTGTTTTTTTTTTTTTTAAAAATGGACTCTTCCAGAGCTCAGGTCTGGCCAAACCTGAGGGAAGGGGGGCAGACCCTCGCAGAGGGCAGAGCCATGTCATGATATGGAGGCCAGCAGGGTCAGGGGGCCAGGCGACACCCCCCGCTCACGTCCTGCCGGCCACAGGAGGGTGGTTGCACGAAAGGGCAGAGCCATGTCATGATATGGAGGCCAGCAGGGTCAGGGGGCCAGGCGACACCCCCCGCTCACGTCCTGCCGGCCACAGGAGGGTGGTTGCACGAAGGACGTGGGGTGCAGCTCCAGGGACAGGGGTTTAATGACCCGGCTCCCGGGGCTCTGGAGCCAGGGGACTAGGAGCTGTCGGGGGCTTCGGGGCTGGGGGCTGCGGCCCTCCGCTTCAGGGGGATGATGCAGATGCTGTTTTTGGCTTCTTTGACTCTCCACCATCGGGCGGGCCTGTAGATGAGAGATGGGGGTCACCCTCTGCCGAGCCCTGGAGAAAGGGGGGCTGCACCCCCGAGCAGTGCCGGGGAGGGGGGACGGTACCGGTGCTCCTGCCCGAGGCCGGCCACCAGGAAGTCGCCAGCTGCCGAGAACTTGAGGCTGTTGACAAAACCCACCTGGAGGGGACAGGGCAGGGTGAGGGGCTCCCGCAGCCTCCTCCTGCCACCTAGGGAGGGGAGCCCCTGCCGAGAGACAGCCCCCCCCGCCCAGCATCCCCAACCTCCCCATCCATACCAAGGGGATGTCCCAGAGGGGCTCCAGCTTCCGAAATCCCTCACTGCACTTCCAGAGCTTCACGCTGGCGCTGTGGGAGCCTGGGGCGGAGAGAGGAGCCTGCCATGCACCCCAACCCGGGGAAGGGCGCGGGATGCCCCTTCCCCACACCCCCACAACCCTGCTCAAAAAAAAGCTGTGTGCAGGCGGGGGCTCTGGGGGGGGGCGGGGCCCCCCCCGCCGAGATCCAGTATGGCTGCTGCAGGCCCTGGGCATCCTGCATGCCGTGCGCCTGCCGGGCCAGCGCCAGCGGCTTCTTCTTCGTCAGCCCCCACAGGGCTACAGACCTGCCAGGGAGGGGAGGGGAGGGGTGAGGGGGCCGAGCGGGGCACCGCCTGCCCACCCTGGGCACCGTCCCAGCCCCGTGCTCACCCGTCATCGGCACCCGAGACCATGTGCTCCTCGTTGATGAGCTGGATACAGTCAATGGAGCCCCTACAAGAGAACAGGCAACTACCATCAGTTACGAGTGTGCTTTGGGATCCTATTTAGGAAACAAGGGCTCACCGGGGCATCAGTGTCCCCAAAGTGCCAGCAGGCTCCTGGTGGTGCTTGGCAGCCTCACACTGTTGCCCCAGGCTGACCTGCCTGCCCGCAGCCCCCTCTCCCACCCCAGACCTACTGGTGCCCATAAAACACGAGCTGTGACTCCTCAGGGATCTTCCAGAGCCGCACGGTGCCGTCCCGTCCGCCCGCCGTCACACAGCACTCCCGGCTCAGGCTGTCCAGCCCCGTGATGACGTCCTGGTGCCCAAACCTGGAGGGGGAGATGGCAAAGAGCTGCAGCGGGCATGGCCCTCTGCTGCCTCGCCTCCCCCGGGGCTGCCAGAGTGTCCCATGGCAGCAGGGTCAGCGGAGTGTCCCCCCCAGGTCTTACAGGGTCTCCACGTATGCGTTCTCTGCCACGTTCCAGACCTTGACGCAGCGGTCATGGGACGCACTGTATAGCTGGTGCGTGCCCTTCCGGAACGACAGGCCCTGTGGACGAATGGACATGGGGGCAGCGGTGAGGCACGCCAGGGAGGACGGTTCTGCCTGGCCCCACAGGCGTTGTGGCCAATGCCTCCGACTCACTGAGACGGCGTCGCGGTGCCCAGTGAAGATGTGCAGGCGCTTGCATGTGGCTGCATCCCAGATCATGATCAGCTTGTTCCTGTCTCCCGTGGCCTGGCAGAGCACAGGGGATGCCCGAGACCTCCCCCTTGAGGACCCACGGCCCACCCCAGCCTCCGCTCCCACCCCATGTGCTTTGGCAGGGGTAGGGGCTGCTTTAACCCAGCAAGGTACGTCTGGGCACGAGACACCGTCCCCCAGGACCCCGGGAGGAGATGCACTCCCCACGGCCACCTCTCCCCCCTGCATGGCAGCGCCAGTCCCCTCTACCCGTACCAGGTACTTGCCGTCCGATGAGATGGCCATGCAGAGGATGTGGGACGCATGCCCCATGTGCCGCTCCTCGGTGCCCTTCTTCCCCCCGGGCACCATGCACAGCCTCTTCCCGCTCTCCACCTCCCCTGCGGGAAAAGCACAGCTGTCACCCCCTGGGAGCCTCCCACCACTCCGGAAAGCACCAACGAGCCTCCCACAGAGCCCAAAACGATGCACGTGCACGTCCCTGGAGGGGCCGAGGGCCAAGCCACCTCTGTGGGCAGCCGCAGTCCTGCTGCTGCAGGGTCCCTGCAGGGTTCAGGCTGGGGGAACAGCCAGTCGCGGCCCCAAGGGAACACTTGCATTTGATGAGGGAGCCGTCCTTGGAAGCGGAAAAGATGAACCTGTCATCCGGAGAAATGACCAGGCAGGTGACGGGCAGCTGGTGCCCCCGCAGCACGCGGATGCTGGCTGGATCCGGAGGCTGCACCTGTAGGGAGAGCAGGACGTGAGCTGGGCTGCCCTGGCCCCTTCCCCAGGCATGGGAGTACCCGAGCATGGCACCCTCCCTTCTCCAGGGTGCCAGCAGCTGGGCCCGAGTGTCCCCCAAAGCCAGCACTTAAGGTCCGGCACCTCCAGCGCTGACGTCTTTGGCGACCAGGCGCCAGGCG